CGGCTCAAAAGCAATAAAGCAAACAAATCAAGCACAGAAGCTGAGTAAAAAGGCTGCTAAGACACTGAAGGTAGTTCACAGAAAGTCAAATGTCTGTGACTTGATCTTCCAGTTGGAGCTCCCTGGTGCCCACCACTGCAGCAGTGGGTGTCTATGAGCAGCACGGTCACGAGCTGGAAGTGTGAACTGCAACATCGAAGCTCCTGAAGACCTTCAGGAGCCACACAAATGGACACAGTCAATGCTGTTTCTGATCTGTGCTTTACACAGAGATACACAGAGGTGTACAACCACGCAAGCTCACCAGCAGCAGAGGGAGTAGCTGTCGAAAAAGTCCATCCCCATCACAAGCAAAGTGACGTTTAGTTCTCTCACTGAATCAATCCAAATACACTGAAGAGAGGTTATTGGTGCTTTTGTTATCTGCCCAGTATTGTAGCTGCCTGCTGCTATACTCCACTGCCCTTTTCCAATGTATAACACTACAACATCACTGGAGATAATAAGGTTTTGATCATGGCAAGACGCTCACAACAGCAAACAGCCCAGGCACACAGAGATCAAATAGACCAGCTGCAAACAGAGAAAAAAAAAAAAAAAAAAAAAATATGACTCGCTAGCTTGTGTGTGGGTATGCATGTTATGCAGGCAGCAGAGGCCTGGATGGCGAAGGTCTCCCAGCGACCCCGGCCATTCGGGGCTTGGGCCCCCAGCACTGCGCTGCATTCCAGCCTGCCTCCTCTCCCGGGACCACTGCCCCTGCTCACACAGAGAGGCAGCCAGACGTGAACGTGAGAAAGCTTTCTGAGGCGAGTCCCTTCTGCAGATCGCCGGGTAGTTGTCTTCCAAAATAATCATAATTAAAAGGGGCGTACGCAAAGGGGGAGCTGGGGTACGGGCTTGCTTTTTTTACCATGTCTTCATAGCACGCAAAGTGGTGAAAGGGATTTTTTCCTAACAATATACTTCTCCATGCCCCTTCCAGTCCACTCCCCATCCTTCCAGATCAAAGGGTCTCAGTACAATATTTGCCTTCAGCAGAAAAGCTCATGAGCAATATCTTTCAGGGTCATTTACATCTATTTACTGGGGTTAATAAATATGTAAATTGATTTTTAAATTGTGGACCTAGACCCCTTTAGAGATACAGACACAGAGCCAAGTTTGGATGACTGCTGTGCCAGTGCAATTGCAGAATAATTTCCGTCAAGGTTGTAAAGCTATTCCAGATTCCTTCTTCTTTTCCCTTTTTCTTTCAGAATACATGATACGGGGCTTCAACCTGGGTGTGGACCTGAATTCTGTGAATCCTTTCTTCTTTTCTATACTTTAAGCCTAGAGGAATTTGGAAAGAAGAGCTGTCTGAACTGTGACTTCCACATATGCTTCTTAGGGAACATAGCCAAAACAAAGATGAAGACATTTTACCTGGTTTAATATTTAAATGATTACCATGAAAGAGTGTGTGACACCAGGCATAGGGGGCACGCAGCAGTGGAACATGGTATGATATGGAAGATTCAGATGAATTAATTATGGATGATCTGGAGACACCCAGCTCCCCTTCGCTGCACGAGAGCTGATCATGTGTTGGAGAGCCTTCCCGGCACAGTTTCATGGCTTCCATAGGGAATATTTTGTTTTAATGGTTTCCTGTGACAGTAATTTCCAACTGGAAATGTCTGTGTTGCAGCATAAAGGTCAGCAGCTTCTGCCTGCCATTTACACCTGATGCAAACTGAAAATGCTGCAGTTCTGCTTTGCTTTCACCCTTGTGGATTTTTTACAGTTACATACAACTCGGCAATCAGAGGGCTTTGAAGCATCAGGACCAGTGTTTCATAGGCAGACTGTATGCAAGGTCACACACACATGAATGTAAAAATTTGAAATCAAACCCAATAATTTCATTCTTAGCTGGAAACTTGTTGCTTTTCCTCTCAGAAAGGTTCATTTGAAGCCTTTGTGGAAGAGTGCCATTTAATTCTGTAACAAGTTTAAGAATAATGTTGTAGAAGTGTCCCTTATTAATTGGTGACACTGTGACAATGTAATTTGATATTGTGGATGCTCTGTCTAATCATTTAGGACCTGATCTTCCAAACATCCGCAAACATATCGGAGCCTAACAGGGTGTTTTAGGACCCATTTCCTTATGTCCCAAAGGGATGAAGGTACCACCGCTCCCTGGGCCTCCAGTGTGCATCCCTAACTTCAAGTTTTAACATGCTCTCACATTTACAGGACTAAGGGCTCAGAGTTCATGCTTTTTTGGGTCAGGGACAATCACTGCCAGGAGCACTAAGGCTGAGCAGACCTGGCCCTGACCCATTAGCTGTGGGCATTAGACTATACTTCTGCTGCAGGAGGGAAGCTGTGGGGTAGGTTTGTTGGCAGAAGTACCACTCCTTGACCTTATCCTTCAGAGGGTAAATAAACTTAATCCCAAATTCATCCACTGTTGTTTGCTAACAGCAAATAATTCAGATTCTGAAGTGAGGTGGGATCGTGCTGCTTTAAGGACCCAGAGGAAGGACAAGGTGTCCAGCCCAGCCCTGCAGAGCAGGGCAGTTTCCAAACCCATGAGCAGCTGGCCTTTGCCTGATGCACAGCCCCTTCATCCAGAACTGATCCACGGGGCTTGTCAGGTGTAAGAGAGGTCTGGATGGACCCAAGGCAAACAGAAATTTAGTAAATGTTTGTGCATTTTACCTCAACAGATTTATCAGCCTGTAAACCTCCACAGAGAAAGATGTGAATTCTGGTGTCTTTAAACACACACAGAAATATTAACTAGTTTAAGACAAAACTGCACCTAGGAGTCTTTTACCCCTCTAGCACCTCAGATTGCAATCATCCACCAAGCAGCGGCAGTCTCCAGAAACGCGCGCACACACACACACACACACACACACAGTGTATATGCACCTCACAAGAAGAAATAAAATCACATCATCTGAGTTTGCTTAGGTTTAGCGAAGGTCAGAGATTTTCGCACCTAGGTGAGCTGTCATCTGGCTTGGGGCAATTCTCTTTTCTCTCGCATCCTTTGCTGGAACAGCAGGAGAGCTTTACTGGCGTGAAAGACTAAACTGTCCTCAGGCTATAAAGCACTTGAGTCACAAACCACTTCCCACACGCACACACACACACACACACACACGCACACACACACTTTCGTATTAATTCAGGACCTTCCAAAATTGTCCTAATGTCTCCTCACCTGTTGGTTCTGAAAACCTGTCGACGGTTGAGGCTTAAGCTAAGGGAGGTGACAAAACATATGGGATTTGCTCTAAACAAAGTAATTCTAGACTGATGCGGTCAAAACTTCTCCTGCTTTTAAATACTGAGCTTCATTTTCATGAACTTAAACCAAATTAATTACCTAAGAACTACGGCATCATTAAGACACAACAGCAACATCTAAGTAAGTGCACGCATAGTAAAGATTAGAAAATAATCATACCATTAAAACCCACAGCAATACGTGCATGAATGGGCTGCCTCTAAAGTGGAGGAATAAACTATGTCACTACAGCTGAGATCAGTAGAGTGACCAAGAGAGAGCTCCACATGTCTTTTACTCCAGAGCAATGCTGCGCTTTCTGATTTCTTAAAGGGATATTTAGAATCAAAAACTTTATTACTGCTTTTGAGCACATACTGCCTCTTTAAATGTGTTCCTCTTTATTAAAGCCTTGGCCCTTTCCTTTGTTAATTTTTTTTTTTTTTCAAGTTCTTTCATTTTTCATTTTTTAAACCTCCCATGCAACAACTATTTTGGCTTTTAATGAAGGGAATTTTTCTGCATCCAGCAAACTGTAAACCATGTCGCTTGGATACAGCAAAAGCTGAAATTCCACAGATTTCCACAAAGTCATACATTGTGTTGGGGAGAAAGTGTGCTAGGCATTCTTTGATTTTTGTGTCCAGCATTAGCATTTGTAAGCACTTATGAAAGAGAAAAAGAGAAAGAAAGGAGAAAGAAAGAGAAAATAAAAAAGTAGAGAGAGTGAGAAAGAGAGCAAGAAAGAGGAAAGAAAGAAAGAAAGAAAGAAAGAAAGAAAGAAAGAAAGAAAGAAAGAAAGAAAGAAAGAAAGAAAGAAAGAAAGAAAGAAAGAAAGAAAGAAAGAAAGAAAGAAAGAAAGAAAGAAAGAAAGAAAGAAAGAAAGAAAGAAAGAAAGAAAGAAAGAAAGAAAGAAAGAAAGAAAGAAAGAAAGAAAGAAAGAAAGAAAGAAAGAAAGAAAGAAAGAAAGAAAGAAAGAAAGAAAGAAAGAAAGAAAGAAAGAAAGAAAGAAAGAAAGAAAGAAAGAAAGAAAGAAAGAAAGAAAGAAAGAAAGAAAGAAAGAAAGAAAGAAAGAAAGAAAGAAAGAAAGAAAGAAAGAAAGAAAGAAAGAAAGAAAGAAAGAAAGAAAGAAAGAAAGAAAGAAAGAAAGAAAGAAAGAAAGAAAGAAAGAAAGAAAGAAAGAAAGAAAGAAAGAAAGAAAGAAAGAAAGAAAGAAAGAAAGAAAGAAAGAAAGAAAGAAAGAAAGAAAGAAAGAAAGAAAGAAAGAAAGAAAGAAAGAAAGAAAGAAAGAAAGAAAGAAAGAAA